GTATGTATGTATGTATGTATATGACACCTTACCCTAGACCTTAAACCAGGCCCTGCGAGGCTTCTTCAGTTGCTGAGTCTGAGGGCGCAGCGGTCTTCCGGAGTGCGCGAACGAGGTTTCCGGAATATCCACGCGTCCTTCTGTAGGCCTTTCGATGCTCCGTGCAAATAGGCACGGCCTTGCGGAGTTGATATGGCCCTCCGCGTTTACAATGATCTTGCAAAGAATTTGGGCGCAAATGGGGGTCCCTTAGGGGAGCCCCTTTCAGCAAGAGTCAGACATAATGATTTTGACGTTCATGATCAATGTTTGTTTGGTAGCACATACGGTCGAAAGCTATTCACAACTGTTCAAAATACGGTGGTGCCGCGTTTTGCCCCCTTATTGTCGGCACAGGCTGATCTGCTGAATGCGTGTTTCACTCTTGTATAGGAGGTAGGCTAGGTAGGCTTATCTGTGTTCAACTTTGGCCGCACTGCGCCACTGATTCTGGGAGCAGAATGCAGGCAAAATCGGGTCAATGACACTCTTGAAAGTGCATTGTCGTACCAATGAATCACTTCGATCCTGGCAAGAGTGCAGAGTCTAGGGCCTCACGGCTGCCAGCGATGCCCATCTTAAATCTTAACTCATCAGCGTTGTTATCATTGATACCATGACCGATGGTTTGCAGGGGTGAGTGTTGCCATTTCCAATGTCAATTTCGTTGCGACTGGCCGTGGCCGGGGCACAAGATCTGCCGGGAGTTTTGTTGTGAATATACGGGCCTGATGAATCAGTAGTCATATTCTCTTCTGGTCCAAAGCCCTATTCTGAGTGTTAAGACCCCTATATTGGATTTCGGCCTGGGTGCCGGATAGGAGCACCATGTAAATGAATTGGATCAGTTGCCCGCATAGCAAAATGTTGTCGCCCGGCCGTTCCTGATCGCAGACCTGACAAGAGCATTAGCGAGTTTGCTGCGCAGCTGTTGTATCTAAAGGAGTACAGATTAAAGCATATCAGGTATCACCCTTTTGGACTTGCTTCTGTGTGCTACACACTAGCTGCGCCCGGGGCACAGATGAAGCTGGATAGTGAGGTCGGCCGAGGCGAGATTTGAAGTAGTGTCTCGCAGCGCGAGAAGGCTAACACTAGGACTCCATTTGCAAAGCTGCAATGCTTTGAGGCTGCATTGGCCTGGAAAGCTGTCGCAGTGATCTGCTCACTTTTTAAAATGACTGTTTAATTACAGATCCAGACAGCGATCTACCCTCTTGGCATCATTGACCCAGCACCAAGGTTGCATTCATGTCCCACAGCGGCTTGCTGGGCTTACTGTGTTGTGGCGATGTCTCTGAGCTTCGATGCTCCTTCGGCCTGTTCATGCCCACACTACTCAAAACCACCCAACTTCTTAGACTGTGTGACCTGCATTACGAGGGACCAGACCCCAGGATGATTTCAGCCTCAACACCGGCCAGTGAATCAAACCGGTATGTTGCTTGGGCCCTGCGCACAAAAAAAACCAAGTCGATTGAACTTGCTAGTATGTGGCAATGCCGTCCAGATACTGGATAGAATTGGAAAAAAATGGTTCAACCTTCTGCCGGCGGCATGAAAAGCGTACTCTCCGCGGACGCCGCGCTCGCGGGTTGGCGTGCGGGCGTGGCAGGTGGGTGGGCTGTCCAGTACCAATACAGAAGATAGGCGCTTTAGAAAGGTGTGGGTTTGGCCCTGCAGAGGGAGATCTGCGGAAGGATGTATAGTTTCAATAGTATAAAACAATACTCGAATCACGTAGCAGTAGTACTTATGCAATGGGACAGCAATAATATAATAGAATATTTCGAGCGAAATTTAAATTCGAACATCTTATATAAAATGATTTGCGAATATAAATTTAAACCTAGATTGTTTTAATTCTGATTATACAAAAAATATCATGAATATTTATCATACATAAAAAAAATATATATATATATATTCAAATAAAATCTATGATGAAAAGAAAATATGATTAATTTAATCTATCTTTATGAAACAACCCTTATGAATATATCTCGTCTTTTTGCGCTAGATATGTTCCTATAATTTTTGTTTTAAAATTCATATATGACCTATAGATATATCGATTTATACGAAAAAAATTATTTCAATATTTCTTTATTTTTGACATCCAATTATTGAAAAAATCATGATATTATATATTAGATTTCATTATTTATAAAATAGATTCTCTTTGATATTTATACGACTTATATTTTATATGCCTAGAATCTACCATAAAAACTAAGATATGATAATATAATGAGAATATTTCAAAGAATTATGATATGACTTAATTATATAATATTCTATAGATAATAGATTGAAATAATTTTTGATACTAGATTGATTCTTGAATTATTTTATGATATTCTATAATATTATCGATCTTGCATAATATATTACGAATATTCATATTTTATTATATTCATATTAATATAATTTATATAAATAACGATTAATTATTGATAGATATGATATATTTATGAAAGAATCGTTATAATCTAGATTATTATGAAATTTCTTCATAATTTTTCATATTACGATATATAGATCTTGAAAAAATTTGATTGTTACGGATATTTTATTTAATGGAGATTTTCGAAGAAAAAGAAAAGAAAAGATATTTAAAAAAGATTAAATGAATATACAAATTCAAAATTTAGAAAATTTCGTTTAAATACCCTAGTATAGTATATTTGATATATATAGGACGGCATAGACAGGGTAAGATAACATAAGTCGCGAGATAAGAAGACAATTTAATCCAATTTATAGCTCTTAATCTATCCCAACACAATTTATATTTATTTTCGAAAAAAGGCGTTAGGAAAACTATTACTTTCGCATAAAACATACTGAGAATTACATATTTAAATTGAAATTTCCGAAGATATAAAATCGTTATCGGGCGCGCTCGTGGCCCGGGAAGATGGAAGCTTTTTTTTTTTCAGAAGATCTTGATATCTCTTTTTTCTTCGTCATTATATCTATTTTGAATAAGTATCAGAATTTTGAGAAAGAAATAGAAAAAGAGAAAGAAGAATTAAAAGAAATGACGACTAATCGCTTCCCCTAATTGATAAATCTCTTCCTAATATTAAGATTGTCGCCCCCCCGGAATTTTGCGGTTTCGGGCCCACAATTGAAAATTAATTAGAAATATGAGGCAAGGATTCTAGATTTGGAAGAATTTTTAAAAAATCAAAATTATAGTATATTAAACCTATAGGACTAGGGCTGTAGGGTTTAGGGGCTTAGAGCTGAGGGCTTAGGGTTTAAGGCTCTAAGATTTAAAGTTTAGGGTTGCTTTGGAGATTTAAGGTTTAGAGTTCTAGAGTTTAGGACTAAGGGATTAAATTTTAAGATTTAAGCCTTTAAAATAATTATATAGACTGATTATCTGCTTTACAACCGGAACGATTGTACAAGATTCGGTCGTTGTATCTGATTATCTGATCGATCTCAATTATATATTCATACCCGTATGCGCCGGCAAGCCCCCTAATATTATAACCAAACCGCCGAAATCCAATTTTAGTATTAGGGAAGGAGGGGGGGGAGGAGGCCTTTAATATTAGGGGGAAGGAATTAGAGGTTTCGGATTATCAGAGTAACTGTACAGCACTCCTCGATTACGAGATTATTGTAGCTATATTTGTCGAGAATTTCAGGATATCTCGGTAATTGTACCGTTGGTCTCTTTATCCGAGCTTGCAATGAATTAATTAATCAGTATTTATAAGAGAACTCAGTACACTAGATCCGTGCTGATTCTTTGCTAACAATCAATAAAAGCGATATCATATTATTGCCCATAGAATGGGATTGCTTAAAAGATCAAGGGTCAAGGTCGGGATCATTATTGCAAGAAATACGGAACGCACCGTATTTCTTCTATCGAATACACGTCGGGGAGGGGCGACTAATACCAAAACCCGGCGACATAATTTGGACATAAGAAATTTGTGGATGCTCCAAGCCGGAACGGCATAAGATAAAAACGCGATAAGAATCCAGCAACAATAATAGCAACCACAATTCGTCCGATAATGCTAACTAGAAACACTCCGGCCACGACCAATTTTTATGAATTCTTATATTTCTAATTTCTTATATTTATCTATATAGTTATAATTCCAATTCTTTTTTGCCATATAAAATATCATCTAATCATATTCATATTAATATATTTAAATTTGGATCAATTTCTTATAATTACGACTATCTATCGAACAATCAAATTTTTTCTTTCCGTATAAAAAGACACGTAATCATAATCATATAAATATCAAATTCCAGAACCAATATTTTTTCATGATTTTTTTATTTCATATTTTCTAATCAAAAATCAATATCAATATCTAAATTTAGAGATTCTTTTATAATAAATTTAAAAAATCTATATATATATATATATATATTTATTTATGAAAACTATTATTCGTATCTAATATAAAATAAACATATAATAAATCATAAAAAAAATATCATAAAAAATTATAATATAAAATAGAATATTACGAAAAGATTTTTCCAGTAAAAATTTCAAAATAAATCGTATTTCATGATCGAGATTCGAATTCCCATGCAAGAATTTCGAGTAATCCCAATAATAAATATTTAGAATCCATCTTCTATTTTATTAAAGAGATTTTCGATTAATCCAAATAACGATTATTCAGAATCCATCTTCCATTCTTTTAAAGATCATATTTATTAAAAGAAATAAATATAGATATCAAATAATATCAATAATAAAAATTAGCAGAGTATTATGTAATAAATATGTATTTTCTAATCGTTCCCATACTAAGCTAATTCCATAAGATTTTTTTATTTCGCAAACATACTCTAAAATCAGATATTTAAAGAAAAATTAAAGAATTCTTCCGATCTATATTAAGATTATTTTAAAGTATTTCTTTTAAGAGAATTTCGAGATCTAATTTTAATTTTCATTTTATTATAAATAGTTAATTTTTCTTTTATCAGCATCTGCCAACGATGTTACGCCCAAGAATATCAATAAAATAAAAAAGAAAATCTACATCGTAAGAAAATAAAAAGCATAAGACCAATATATTTCAAATATTTCTTAAGAGTTTTAGAGCAGTGACAGAAGATAATCTAATTATTTCTTAATATTATCTACGAAATACACCGAAATTTATAATATTAAAAATAAGAATAAGTATCGAATATCGTATGTTCATTATATCAAGCTAAGTCGATTTCTCTTATCAATAATCCCAAACAGACGAGGTGGCACGCATAATCTTGGCCACCCTTGCCGCAGCCCCTAAAATAAATCAAAGATTTTGTTTGCACCATATTCATATCATATCTCATAATTTACGAATTACAAGAACTACCAGAAATAGAACTTAAATTAAAATTATTAAGACACGCACGGAAGTTCCGACACAGCCACCCCAGGACCTATGCACATACATACGTACCTATGTACGCACATCAAATACATCACAGACTATATACAAGATTTGTACATACATATATACGTACGCAAATACGTACATAGGTCCATTACACGTAGTAAAAACTCGAACGTCCATCCATGTGTATACATATATATATATACACACGTGTGTGTGTATGCATGCCATAGACACAGATATAGATATGGATATAGATATAGATAGAGATATATATGGCACACATATAGAGATAAATCTAAACATAGGTCTAGATTCATATAGAGAGAAGATGTAAAAAAAACAGTATATTTATCCGGTTAGGAAAGAGTAGGGAGTTGGACGCTTGGGATCGCCAACATATACCTGTTTCTTCTGATTCGGGATGCATACTTCTCTAACAACCGCACCTTGCACATCAAGTGCTTTTTCAGCTCTGATGTTGTCTCTCCTATCTTCGTCTTTGGGGAAAGCTGGTTGTTTCGAATGCCTTTGGCACAGCAGCCAGCCATCACTGGTTTTCCGCCATGCAGGAGGCGCGCCCAGTCATGATTTTCATCCTGGGACACTCCTTGAATTCGTCTATAATGGTTACCGGCATGAAGGTAGTGGAAGACGGCCTGACTGCCTTTGCCTTTCGAATGGTCCGGGACAAGTCTTGCTGTCACTCTCCCATATAACAGTATGATGCACAGGCGCACGAGCCAGACCTGGAAAGTCGAAACGAATACGCTTGTGGCCTTACAATACTGCCAGCAATCTGGTGACACCATGCGCCCGACACGGTCGTTGACGTCAGATCCCCTCACCTGAGCCGTACAGAGATCTGATGTGTAGTTAGTCAATTTAGTCAAAGGACACTCTGCTGTGCGCAGCGCCAACCAGCAACACTAAACTTGGTTGAACGACATGTTGTTCTTGCATCTGCCGTGGCAATGTAGAGCAAAATCCAGAAGTGCGGGAGAAGGCCTTCATAGGACAATGACTTCCATGAAGAATGCATGCCGCAAGCACTTGTGGTTGCGACATTTTCCGTCACGTGCTAGTCATGTAGTGCTTCTGGCATTTACAATGCACATGGTGAATGTTGGTAGTCTTGTTGTGAAGCCAATTACAAACCCTAAACCCTTAACCCCTACACCCCTGGTGAAATCGGAGTACCAGGGGCCTTTACAGCAATCCAGGTCGGTCACGTACTTTGGACCCTGGCTTCGACAGCCCCTACATGTTAAATCCTACAGGGTTTATAGGGTTTAGGGCTTTAGGCAGTTAGATTGTAAGGCTTGAGGACGAACTTGTTGAGGGTTTGGGTGGCAATAAGTCTTGGCCGGAACGATTTGACCGAGACGTTCCCTCTGGGGATCAGAGCGGGGGGGGGGCTCTGGACTCGCTGGGCCTCCCTGGGACTGGGGCCGGGGGCTAAAATGGACGGTTTAGGGGGTTGAAGGTGAAACAATTTCTGTTTATAGTTTAGGGTTTAGGGCTTTAGGCTGCGAGGTTCAGCTTTTGAACCAATCAGGACAGGTGCTGACACAAGAGCCACCAGAAAAGTCAGTGACATCTGCGGGCATCATAGGGCTTGCAATAAAACCCTAATGCCCCCTAATGCCAAGCAGCTCTACACGGCAAGTGGCGCGGCACGATTCGAGCATATTCGAGCTGCATCTCGGCTCGTCTCATATCGAATCGACCTCCTCGTGCCAGACAGACTTTGGGGAACTCGCGACAAAGAGCTGTCTCGTGTCTAAGGCTTGGGTCTTCAGGGTGTAGCGCTGAATGGTTCTGGATGAAGTTCACAGTGCAGACCTCGCAGTTGCGGTGCGGAGTATGCTAGGCTAATTTATTCGACTGCAGCCGCATGCCGTTCCAGCAAGCGCTCCCTAAACACACAGAAACCCTCAGCCCCTTCGTCCTGGCCGGCATCGCGCTTCTGACTGAACTCCGGAGGGGGCTTGAACGGAGGACGCTCCATCCCTGCGTAGGGTTTAGGGTTTATGGTTTGGGGATCTTTTGCCTTACTGAGGGTTTAAAATACCCTATAAATTATGAACTTCATAATTCATAGGGTTTCGAGACTGGAGCGAGCGGGAAGTGGATGAGGGCAGGACGTATGAAGGACTTGTGGGTCAAAGGAGATTGGGGTGTAAGCCTGCCAGCTTGAGGTAGCAAGATGATGAATAGCTGCAAAGTTATACGCCCTAACCACTGCGGTCATACCCTAAACCCCAAATTCCCTAAACCCATAAGAGATGCCATCCAGTGGCCGCATGTCAAGCTCTCGACGACCTTCGATGTTCGGAAGAGCAGGGGATCCTGCTCGTCAGGCCACCGAAGAGCCATCTAGTTGAGGGTCTAGGGCTTTGCGGCATCTGGCACACTATCACTTGTATCGTTTATCATCCATCCAGAACTACGGTTAGAAGATGGATATATAGTCTCATAGCAGCTACACGCATGTGCACGTGGATCTTAACGGGCTGATAGGGAACAGCCCCGAATCCTGCCCAAATCAGTAGGTTATAACCCCTTAAACATGAGCTATAGTCGTTCCTATGGCCCTTGAAGCAGTAGGTTTTTCCAACCCTCAGGTAGGATTCAGTGTAACCCCAAAACACCTCGCACAAACGAAGGTCTGATCAAGATCGGCATGCATTGCTAAAGTTAAAGTATGCCAGCCGGAGGTTTTACACCTAAATCTTGTGCGCTTGAAGCCCCTATTAAAACGCCTGGCATCATTTGGACAGAAAGAGGCCCCTCCTTGCGAGTTCGTGGCGCGTGCGGCCACGGCTTCCTCAGATAGCGCCATCTCGGATCCGGTCTGAGTCTGAGGGATGTGTTCAAATCTTCCAACATCGCTTAATTCAGGAATATGCCGTAAATCATATTGGGGATCCTATTGTAATTTGTGGTATGTTCCTTGTTTATTGGGACATCGGGGTGCTCATGTAGAAGCGCTGCACCTGCCAATCCCATCGCCGAATTTTTGGGCATCATCAAGGCGGGGCAACAAACAGGGACACTTGCCCAGTACGACTGGGGACCGTTAAGGCCTGTAGAGACAGTAATTATGATCTGGCTGCACGTGCTCATTGAGCGAGGTTTGGGGTGCATTGTTAAACCGATAGTGTTACTAGTTATGAAAGCCTCTATATTACGACTACGACTCCACCTGGCTCATCATCCTGGAAAGCATCTTTTTCACAGCTTCCCTTGCGTCACTTCCCTTCCTATTCATACAGGTCCTGGCCCAAAGCCTTAACTCCCCAAAATTCAAACCCTAAACCCTGAACCACTAAACCCTAAAAGTCAAAAGCCAGGACAGAACTTTCGGTCGATGTCGGTCGGGACGTTGTTTGGACCGAAATCCTGTGCAACTTCTATCAAGCCCTAAACTTCCCAAAAAAGGCCAGGGAAGGGACGCAGGCTTCTCGCTCTTCGGCCGCAGGAGCTGGAAGGCTTTGAGTCTCAATTCCTGCGGCTTAGTAGTGCGATTATCCTGACGTTTTAGGAATAGGGTTTTGGCTTGGAATTGGGTATAGGTTTAGGGTTTCGGGCTTCGGGTTAACCGGGTTAAACCCTAAACACCAAACCCCAAATCCAAACGCACTCTTGCTCTAAAGGCGCGAAAAGGCGCGAATACTAGGCTCCCCATTATAATCCATATGGAGGCAGAGGATAAAGCTTTATGAGTTAGCAGCTTCAGCGCTTAGGGTTTACAGTGTACAGGATTTCATGAGGGTCAGTTTATATGGGGTCTCAATATTTGGAATACAGCTTTGAGGCAAACGTGGAGAGTGCACCTATCATATAATATAGGGACTAGGAGTCCAAAAGTAATATAACTAAATATTCAGACCCCTATACATTAGGTCTAAACTTGTGGGCGTATATAGGACTTACCGGGTTTACAGACCAAAGGTGGCATCTTGAGTGCATCTTTTGAGGCTGGTTGAGTGGCTGGGGCTGTTAGTGCTGGTTCTGCGGTGAAGACGAACCTGGGCGTCGTCCCACCTAAGGTTCAGTGTGGCGACCATAGCAACTGTAGCTCTCTATACATCGCCGCGCTTTCCGAAGAAACATGTCAGACAAAACTAATCTGGCCACCCCTGCACAAACCGCCGAGCGTACTATTTACATTTCGCAAATCCGACGCCACCACATTAACCCAGCGGCTTCCCAGAACCCAGTTACAACACACAAAGCCTGGCTCTTAGCGGTACATCCCCCACAGCAGCCAAGCTCTCAGGTCCTGCATGTCTGCACTCCTGTGCTGCGAAAACCTGGATCTAACAGAACTCTTCCAGCGGGCCAGGGAGCACAAAGAGACCACGTAGGAGTTCTTCTTACTTCACATCACGAGCCTTGATCCACGGCTTACCAGGCCTTCAGAGCTGCCTAACGAATCTCCTCATCTTTGGCAGTCAGACAGCGATTTCGGCAACCTATTGAGTCTAGACCTGGCCACAGAGCAAAAAACGAAGTAGAAAATCTAAAGGGAACGACAAGAACAAAGCAACTTCGCAAGTGTCACCACCACAGACAAGACCAACAACCAGCAGGACAAGCAGCGTCTACCTCCAGCTAGCACGAGCAACACAGCTGCAACCATGAGCAACCAGAAACACCAACGACGACAATAACAAGAGCAACCTCCCACAGCGGCAACAAACGCAGCAATGATAATTTCCAATTCTCATCATTGCTATGGTTCTAAGCACTCAAGAGCCAGTATAGAGCTCCATATCGATTGTATTGAAGCCCCCCCCCAACTCCGCCTGGCCTTGAGAAAAGGAGACCTGAGCGCCAAAGAGCTCAAAAGGTCAGGGCAAAAGGTCGACGGGTCTTTTAGGGTTTTTGGTTTAGGGTTTTAGGGTCTTGGCCTTGTCTGAGGAAAAGGATGTGGTGGGATGTCCCGGCGCGGGGCTGCGGGTTTAAAGCTTCTCGGATCAGTTGGGTGTTGTGGAACGGTTTGTAGCGCAAACGGAATGCCCCTGCACCGGTCAGGTTGAGTTTGGGGGCCCTGCCGAAGACCCTCATAGCTACAAGGGCCCACAGGAAAGCAAAGCCAGTTTAAGGTCTTGAAGATGTAGAAGTTTCCGTTTCGCAACTGTCCTACAAAACCCTAGTTCGGGATGTAACGCTGCATGGTGTTAATCCTATATAGACTCACGCACAAGACCGCAAGACATCCAATCGGAGCGACAATAATAAGAATGTCTGTTTGCTCGATACCCGGGGCTCACTCTGCCCTCGGCTTCCACTTCATCTTTACACTGCATTACACTGCTGCCTGGGCTTTTGACACCAAGGCAACACCAGAAAAGCTTGGTGTTTGGGCTTTAGGGTTTCGGGTTCAGGATGCATCTATCTCAGAAGCTCCTTACCAAGAAACCCCAAGGCAGATAAACCCTAGGCTGTCACCCTATGGTGCCTAGCCACGGACAAATGCAAGCCAAGGTAAAGCCAGTAAACCCCCTCGTAAACACTGTAAAACCGCAATGAAACCCCTGGAAAGACCCTATATACACGCTATAAACATGCTATACAGACCCTATAAACACCCTATTTAAAAACCCTCAGCTCCGCTGCACATGGACAGGCGAGAGTCCGAAGGCCCGGCAGTCGTAGCCTCACGGAGCGAACACAGGTTAGGGTTTAGGGTTTAGGGTTTAGGCTTTCGATCTTCTTGGCTATTAGGGTTTACACTGGCTCTTAGGGTTTAGGGTTTTGGGCTTTGTTGGGTTTGCAGGGCTAGTGGGGTTTGCAGAGTTTAGAGTGGGTTGTTTAGGGTCTATCGGACTGTTGAGGGATGATGATGATGATGATGATGATATTTGTAGCTTCAAAACTGGATTCAGGGTTAAGCCCTTAGCCCTAAATTTTCCGGCTAGAGCCTGGCAAAACCAAAAGGGCTGACTGCAAGCAACCTCGGAAAAGGCTAGTTAAGGGTTTAGGGTTGTTTACCGGTCGGCTCGGGGCTTTGTTGGCCTGCGTCCGAAGTTGCCGGATTAGCTCTCTTCTTGCAACACAAAGCTCTCTACCCTGTCTACTCTTACCCCAAACCCGAAGCCCCGCAAAACTGCGAGACGGGGAACCCAATAGCGATGGGGTGGACAACTTTCCCATAAGCTGCGGCAGCAAGGCTTTGACATGCCTGAGGACCTCAGCTGGAGCCCCCCAGGCTGAAACCGGAGTTGAAAGCATAATAGTCACGATATTCATGATGAAAACCATAACTGCTGGAGCGAACCAGCAGGTTGAGAGGTAGACACAAGTGGAGTGGCCAATTCCCTTCTCGCATACTCCCCGGCACCCGACATGGCTCACTCGAAAGGCGGAGACTTCAATGCGCAAGCGAACACGAAAGGAGAAGTCTGTGCTACATTGGACGTGGCACCTACAACAATGATACATGTGGTTTTCGTCAAAAGCCATTCTCAAGGCTCAAACTGTGCTTAGCTTAAAGAGCAACGGAAAAAGAAGAACATGTACACGTCGCATGAGCTGCAAAGGTGGCATGCGCTTCAGCAATAATCATTTCAAAACAATAACAATTATTATGTATACCTTCTAGAAACGAATGATTCTTTGGGCGGGTCGGTAGTCTGGCTAGGGTTTTAACCTTCCATGTGTCAAAATGCTGCGGTGCTGGAAGCTGAGTTTGTAATGCTTTGCTATGGACTTTTGCGTGTCTGGACTTGGTCACCTGGAAGACACGAAATACAAGTCGGGCGGAGATCGAAACCCGAATTGCTGTACAACGAGCCACTTTGTGCAGATGACGGCTGCATTGAATTCCGTAGATATCGGGAACATCGCATGCGATGACGCAGTTCCAAAGTGCGGTGAAGCCCAATCGACATCCGAGCGGCTGAGGCGAGCTTGTCCATGTCTTTGGTGATTTGTGGCATCAGAACTGTCACCAACCCTTTCGTGTTGTGGTTGCCGTTCAAGTTGTTCAGGAAGGGGTAGACCCTGAGCTCAAGTCTGATTGGCTCAACCGCCCCTGCTGCTGACAGCTCGCACAGGAAGTACACCATGCTGGAAGAAAATAATTCTCATATTCTCTCTCTCTCTCTGTCTCTCTCTCTCTCTCTCTCTCTCTCTCTCTCTCTCTCTTCTTCAGCACAGACTAGAGAGAGGCACGGATCTCTCTCTCTCTCTCTCTCACATGTGCACGCAGAAGCACCCGCATCTTTCGGAAGCGGGAGGAGCCAGAGGGCCGCAAATTGTGCCAAGCACGGGGAAAAAGGCAGGCATGCGACCAGGACACTCCTCATCCAAGTGTACCAATATCTTGGCTGTGGTGGCATCAAAGGATTTGATGTCCTTGTCCATGAGGAATCGCAACCTGCACAAGCAAATTCAGCACAGAAGAGGCCGCAAACGAGCGTCTACGGTGGACATCCGACTCCTTTCCTAAGCTGACACAGAGCAGTCAAGAACGTCCGTCAAGTCCCCCAGTCTTACAACCTCGGCTGGCATTGCAAGTGGCCCTGAAGGATCGGATCGATTACTTGGGGCTAATGTCACAAAATCCGTGTACACATAAGCCACACACATATGTAGTGTTCTGCCTCTGCACATCCACACACACACACGCTATGCATGTATATATATATATACATACATACATACAGGTATGTATGTATGTATGTATGTATCTACATATATATATGTGCATCATACACAGATACTGTATTTGTTTGTTTTCTGCTCCTGCCTTCATCTTAGTGTGCGGAATTCACTGATCGCCCGCCCTGGTCCCCCCAACGTCTAGACGACCGTGTGTGCAGCACTTGACGGATCTCTTGGAGTCTGCTTGGAGCTAGGGGAGGGTTTCCATTGTAGTTCCCTTTTTTGGTGTCAACCACTTATACAGAGTTTAGGGCTTAGGGTATTAATGGATCCTATCACGATGGAGACTATAGATAGGGAGGCTTTCCACCGTTGCCAATTGTCGCGGAGAGCTCAATAAGGGGTCGCCTAAATTAGGAGCCTAAGACCTACACGCTGAACCACTCCCCCAAATAAACGGTTTAGGGTTTAGGGCTAAATGTTGCCCTACTATCCTGAGCCACTTCCCCCAACAAAAATCCCTAAGTTACTTCCCAGGGACTCCAATATCCCTTAATTAAGGAATATACCTTAAATCCTATTAAGGTTCGTATTGTAATTTGAAGTATATTCCTCAATTAAGAAGGGATATTGGAGTCTCTGGGTACTATCCTAGCAAAAATTCCCTTAGTTACTACTATCCTAGCAAAAATTTCTTAAGCTACTACTATCCCAGGCAAAAAAATCCCTAAGTTACTACTATCCTTCTCTACTATCTTAGCAAAAATTCCCTAAGTTACTACTATCCTTCTGCCAGGAGCGCGGCAAGTCGGGAGCGCCTTTCGAGGAATCGGCCGTGCTGGAGTGCTTCTCCCAGGCTCTCCTAGGTTTAGGGTTTAGGGTTTAAAGTTCAGGGTTTAGGGTTTAGGGTTTAGGGCCGCTCACTCCTCTTGGGGTTTGAGCCTTTTTGCAGGGTTTAGGGGTTTAAGATTTAGGCCGAGGGTTTTTACGGTTTAGGGTTTAGGGTTGAAGATTTAGGCTGAGGGTTTTACGGGTTAGGGTTTTAGGGTTTAAGATTTTGTCTGAGGGTTTTACAGTTTAGGGTTTAGGGTATAAGATTGAGGATGAGGGTTTTGGATTGCGGGCTTTTTTGAGGGGTTGTGACATTTAGGGATTTGGAGTTTGGATTCGGGCTTCGGGATTTATTGGAGTTGGAAGTCAGGGCTCTACCTAGACCCTTAAATGTAGCACTTTTTTTGGTTGCCTTAGTTTCTTATTATAGAATCCTAACCATAAAAGAGGTCATCAGATAAAATGTACTACATTTAAGGGTCTAGGTAGGGTTCTAGCGGCCAGGGTTTAGCGAGGCCTAGGGTCCAAACTGATGTGGAAGATCCTGCACCGTTCGCCTTGAGCATCAACATAGCCCAAAAGCCTTGTATAATAGGTCTTTGGGCCCGGAAGCCTTAGAATATGAGGCCTGTGAGGGTAAGGGTTCACACTGAGGGATACGAATACCATGATTCTCATAGCTTAGGCTTTCGTGCTTGGGGTTGCTACTTGTGTCAGCCCTACCCTATGGTAGCAAGTAGGCGCTGTGAACAAGGAGGTCAGTGTCCTTCGATCCAGAATCTGGTGTGCTTTTTGGGTTTCTGTTGGGATTGTGCAGCGGCCTAGTGAACCCGCTGCACTCTATCACATCCTAGCTTAGGGTTTATAGGGTTTGGGGTGTAGTCCTCCCAGCTTCAGCCACGAGCCCGACATGTCCCTGCAGGTCGCAGATGCCGTGCGGTTTGTCCACGCGCAGAGACTTGGAAGGGCTGTTTGGGGTGTTTGTCTCTAAAAACAATGTAGGGTCTAGGATTCAGGATTTCATCGCAACTTACAATGGGCCGTCAGGGTTTACAGTCGTTTTGTCTCGTTCTACACGACTTAGGACTCGAAGGTTCAGAGGATTCAGAGGTACATATAAATAAGGTTTTCAGTATAACCTCAGCGGGGGTTAAGGGTTTAGGGTGTATGCAAGAACGGCTGTTATTACATTGTTCATCGCGCTACCTGCTATCACCGATGAACCTTAAAGTACACCCTTGATCGCAGGAACGCTTTGGACAGGAACCTTATAGGGAATCCGAGAAAGCGCTTAGGCTTTACAGTCTCACTGTCCCTAACCTATTCTAATGATACAGGCCTGTATATAAATTCTAGAGCTTGGGGCTTGAGGTATCGGGTCTGAGGCGACCCGAAGAAGATTCTCACCCAAGAACATAAGTCGTTTAATCACGGTTTCGGTTTTAGGGTTTGGGGCTGAGGGTGAGCCCCAGAAAGTTGGAACCCGGTTTAAAGGTTGCGCTGGGATCCCCTATGCTTTGGCTTATAAACTTTCTGTCTTCTACTTTACCCATAGGCTCCATGGTAGTTCCTTTTTGTGGTGTATTCTTAGGATCCTAGAAGGTAAATCCCCGAAAGGAACTACTATGGAGCCTCTGGGTAATAACTACGCAAAATGCTTGAGGCCGGAATCGTGGTTTGGGATGTAGGGTTTAGTCTAGGACAGTTTCAGGTGTGTACTTTACCGTCATAGGAGCCTTATCTTATAGAAGGTTTATATATATATATTTATTTATTTAATTTATTTATTTATTTTATAGATTATAGAAGCCATATATACCCTAAACTCCCCACCTGTAGGTTTCCTTTAACTTAGGCCATCCTGAACCCAGGAAGATGGTCCACAGAGACATCAAGTCAAGGAACATATTCCTCTGTCGCACTGGGAAGGCCCCCTGCTCTTTGTGTGATTCTCTAGTCCTGTATGCGACGCCCGGAACTTAGATAGCCCGTGGGAGAACATTGCATTGTTGTGGCTTGCTATATTTGGTCTATCTTGGAAAGTTTGATCTTAGTCTTTTTCCGCCTAAAGAGAAAAAGGGTTAAGGGTTCAGGGGAGCAAGGATTTAAGATGTTTGGTGCTGGGGACCCCCTTAGACTTTATCCTCCTTAAGGACACGAAGATACTGATGTTCCAACCTTGCGGCGTCTGATTACTTTAACTTGTTGGTCAAGTCTTGTCTTCCTTCATCCTGACAAAGTCAGTGATTAAGCTACGTCTCGAATTGTGGCTTTCTCGGCGTGGGGTCTGTTTGGCTTGAGCCCTCCACGTTCGCGAAGCGTGCGGGTTTGGTAAGGCTGCTGTGGTTGCTGCAGACCCCTGTCGGTATGACCCTTAACCCTCAACGAAAAAATATCCTCAACCATAAGCCCTACCTGTAACTCTCTTGACCTACAGATTAGCAGCCATTACCCCTTAATTAGTAGGTAGAACCCATAAAACTGTAGGTAATTAGAGTCCCAGGTAAACCCTTGACATGCCCTCAAACAGGACAAAAGTAATGTAGGGGCCTTAATAATTAGAATAGGGTCTTGGGGTTCCTTATTATGATTATGGTATAATCCCAGAGGGTCCAAAGTATCCATATAGTAGAATGTAGGGTTTCTATATTAGGAATTACTATTATGATTTGGGGAAGTATCCCCCATAACAGTACCTAGGACCCTTTGGGAATATACCCCAGACCCTATTCTAACTATTAAGGCCCCTATATTATCCTGCTGTCGTGGGGTCTAGTCTAGCAGCCCGGAGGCTCCGCTCTCTGAACCCTACCTGGAGCCCAAAGAACCTGCCTTTTGAGGGTTCCGTATTGGGGTCTGGGGGTTTGGGGGTTTAGGGTTTAGGTTTAGGGGTTTAGGGGTTTAGGGTGTAGGGATTTAGGGTTTAGGGTTTAGGGTAGAAAAGTCCATGAAAAGGTAGGTTCTTTTCGGTTAAAGTCAAAAACCACATTCTTCTCCTCTTACTCCTCTTACGGATTCTCCATTGCCACTTGCAGGTTGAAGCTGAAGCAAGAACCGCCCCCCCCGTTCTCAGACCGAAGAATGAAGCTCTAAGAAGCGAAAGCCCTGAACCGCAAACCCTATCACACCAAACAACCTACCAGCTTGAGGAAGTAAAGGATCAGAATAAGGAACTCTGCAAAGGTAGGTTTTTCACGATCCAGGTAAGCCCGCCCTCAAAATCCGGATACATTGAAGCCCGTCTGTCAGAGCCCAGCCCCATGACTACAGTGGCATGCGCCCTGTGATTCATATTCCCGGGACCCCTCAAACCCTAAACCCTAAACCCTTCGGGCCTTGCTACTAAGATCCTTGTTGCAGGCCCATAAACCCGATCAGACCCATAAACCCTGTAAACCCTCCCTAAACCCGTAAACCGGGTTTAGGGTTCAGGGTTTAAGGCTTAGGACCCCTAAACCCCTCCAAACCCCTACCCTGAACCTCTAAACCCCCAAACCCTCTGCCTCTGCCATGCTAGTTGAGGCCTTGCTGGGTGATTTCGGTCTCGTGCGTCTGCTCGAGATGCC